AGCGTGCCACAGCTGATCGAACGCTTTCGTGATGTCAAGAGCAACGACATGAGCCTCACCATGAGACTGGATGAGTTTACTCCACAGTTGCGTGACGTAAGCTTGGAGGTCCCCTGTGGATCGTTGGTGCCGGAAACCGTACTGCCTGTCGCTAATCAAGCTGTGACGTTCGAGGTAGTCCAGAAGCTCGCGATTTATGCACCTCTCCATCACTTTACTTATAACAGAAAGCAGAGCTATAGGCCTGTAGTTGTAAGGGTCGGTCTTAGATCCTTTTTTTGGGATGGGCTGTACATGAGCAAATTTCCAGTTTTCTGGGAAGGTGCCGGATTCATAAGATATCTGGAAGAGACGCGAAATAACTGGAGCAAGCTCCGCTGCACATCTCTTCAGTACAATGGCAGGAATCAAGTCCGGACCAGAAGCTTTGTTGATGTCGAGCGACAAGAGCACTCGTCTTACAGTCTTATGCCTGAATGTTACCTCCCCCATAGTGTGGGGAACCCTTTGAATTGACGGCACTTGGGCGTTGGTGGGGACGTCCATGGTGGAGTTGGCAGCAAAGATATTGGCTAGCACTTCCGCCTTGGCCTTTGAGTCGAATACAATAGTTCCATCCTGACACGTAAGTGGTGGAAGGCTACTGTGTGAGAAGTTCTTTTCAATCTGCTTGGCCAGCGTCCAGAAAGACCGACTGCCATTGCGCTGCGACATTACCCTGTGCCTAACTTTTATATCATGCTGGTTTTTGCCATTGCGAACCGCTTCGTTATATTTGTTTCTGGACTCGACGTCGGCTTGTCTGTTCTCTACAGTGGGGTTTTGTAAGTAGGTTCTGTGGGCCTTGATCTTCTGCTGGCGAGCAGAGTCACACGATTTGTTGAACCAGCCGTTGGACCCTGGTTTAGGAACTTTCACTGTGTGAGGGATGTATTCTTCCATTCCGACGTGGATAATTTCGGTTATTGAAGAACAGACAGTCGACGCATCCGCGTCAGTGAAACAGACATCTCTCCAAGGAAATCTAGAGAAGAAGTCTCTGAGCCCCTCCCAGTCGGCATGTCCGTAATGCCAAGTGTTGGGGCCTGTGCGAGTTTCTGCTGCCGCAGCGGCTTCTGACCGAAACCTAACCTCCACAACACCGTGATCTGAGTTACCCAGGGGGGACAGGACAGCAGTGCTGTAAGGGGCAGGACGCGTGGTCAGAAAGAGATCCAGCAGGCTACTGGCGTGTGACGAGACGCGGGGGAAAAAAGTAGGGCTCGTCACCAGCTGGGTCAGCCCTTGAGTAAGAGCGAACGCTTCGACTGCACGACCTGCTGCATCGGTCTTATTTGAGCCCAACCAAAGCTCATTATGGGCATTGAAATCACCAAGAAGAACTACCTCTGAAGCGGGGTGATTGATGTTCAGGAAGTCGATCTGGACGGCGAAGTATTCGAGTAGGTCATCCCAGTTATGATTCGAGGGAGAGCGATAAAGGCAGCAAATAAATTTGGGTGATGTTTTGGAGTTGAGGCGAAGTCACAGAATGTCCTTCCGGTCTGATTCCAAAGAAAGATCCCTGGAGCAGGAAAGACTGCTGCGGACAAAAGCCACAACTCCCCCGTTCTTTCTCAGAAAATATTTGTGAATATTTGTGTCCAAACCGGACAAGAAATGAATCGGTTGAAAAAAATGAATAGGTTTGGAATCATAGATACAAAATTGTTCCTCACATGAATGACCTCCTTTCGTGTACGATCAATCCGATGACAGCATTCTACATGCAGGAATTCAGGGTCGATATCTGCATGTGAGCTGGAGAAAAGAAGACCTGGAGGCTTGGTGATGAAAAAATCTTGCACAGTTTAATGCTTCCACAGCACAGCACTTTATCTTGACTGATAAGAAGTCTCCTAGCGCTCATGCGGTTTCGATGGATGGACGAGCACTGGAGCTGGTACAAACACATCTCGTCAATAGGGGCAGATGTTGGGAGAAAGCTGCGCTATTTGTTTATCATTAAGAAGTACTTTTCTTCACATGATCTCCTTACTCTGTACAAAGTCCATAAGAGCTAGGCCTCGAGTATAGGCCTCCCGTGTCGAATGTCTTCGTACATCCAGAACTGGCCGATACGACCGCTCCTTTGCACCCAGGGTTTCGAGATTTTGGAACGATCTACTCCTTTGCTCTATCGCTGGATTTCCCCAAAAATTTGCTAGTCCACGTTGGTGCTGTATACATTCGTCCAGTCGCCGTGGTGGGATTTATGTCTTCTTGAGGTATCTCATGTAGTAGTATGACTTTGATGTTAAATGACACGTACATCACTTACCTTCCTCGACCTATCCGTTTGTCTATATGTATGTACGGTAACTTGCAAAGCACATGCAAGATTTTGATGAAATTTATTTTATTTTATTTTTGTTTTAATTACAACACCAATTACAAGGTGAGACAAAACAGAGCATACCTATAAATGTAAAAAGACAATAATAATGGATACGTTAAGAAATTGGTAAGATTACATATTGATTACTTAATGGCACCGCTTATGTCCTAAATGCTACAGTTAAATATGTCAAGCTGGTTACTTATGCAATTTTTTGGATTCAAGTACAGTTCAGAATAATGCAAATAAAGTGCGCGTGCCGCTGGTAGAAAAAGATTAACACTCTGATTAAATGTTAGCCTAGGTACATTGAGCGTTAGCTTCCAGAAGAGGGAGCGGGGTCATCAGCAACATTATTATTTAACTTTAACAGCAACATCACTGATCACTTCAAGATTACGCATTAGATGTTTTTGAAGTAGATTCTCATGAGGTATACCAATGGACGGGTATATCGAATTCACTTCCAGTGATTAATATTTTAGGAAACGCCTTTGAACAGAGGCAGTTGTCGAGAATATTAAGAAAATGTATACTAATATTCTAATTTTTTTAAATTTTAAATCTATTACTATTTCTTTCATTATGCAACTTTTATATAGGTGATTTTTTGGTATAACAACTACTTTTGACAAGTCCTGTAAGCAGTTAAAATAAATGACTCAACCTGTATAAATAAACTGAAAACATGTTTCTTTATGTTAAATTAAACAAAGTATATTTTTCAATACTATTCTTTCGGAGCATAAGTAATTACTTATAATAATAAATACTTATTCGGAAATATACTAAGTGACATATAAATCCGAACACCCAGTTTAAATAGTTTTATTTTAATAAAAGTTGGTGAATGTGTTTATCTTACTATAAATAACAAGTGAAAAAATGTTCAGCCTTATCAGTTGGACATTCCGGTTTTTATATTGCTTTTTATTAATTCACTAACGCTCTAAAAATGAATATTTCAGCCGCAGTAAAAAATCAACGTTGGCGGATTTTGGTTCTTGACATCCTTTACGATCCATTACGATGCCTAGAGTACGGAGACCTGTACGATTTCGTCAACTTAGTGAGTTTGATAGGGGCCGTATAGTGGGACTTCGGGAAGCTGGACTTTCTTTTCGGGCAATTGCAGTTAGAGTGCAAAGAAGTGTAGACACTGTGGTTAGGTGTTGTCAGGCATGGCTTTGAGAAGGCCGTACGCAAAGAGCAAGGGGCACTGGACGCCGCCGTAGTACAACAGACCGTGAAGATCGCCGCCTAAGATTATTGGCCTTAAGGGACCGTTTCTCCACTACCAGGTCCATTGCAAATGAATGGTTTGCAGAACACGGAAGACCTATTGGCATGCGAAGTGTTTACCGACGAATTAGAAGTTTTGGCTTGTTTTCATACCGGCCACACTGGGTCCTCCCTTTAACTCGAGCACACCGACGTAATCGCCTTGAGTGGTGCAGACAACGGTCACTCTGGAAGCAGGAATGGAACAGTATTGTCTTTAGTGACGAGTCTCGATTTTGTTTAGGCATGCACGATGGTCGTGCCAGGGTTAGAAGGCGACGTGGTGAAAGGAGGAATCCACAGTTTTTTGTTGAAAGACATGTTCATCACACTGTTGGAGTTATGGTTTGGGGTGCTATAGCTTATGGTTCCAGGTCACCTTTAATCTTGATCAGAGGTCACATGAACGCGCAGCGTTATATCCACGAAGTTCTAGAATCCCATCTTTTACCCTATCTTGACACCCTGGCAGATCCAACTTTCCAACAAGATAATACCCGACCACATGTTGCAAGAGTCACAATAGACTTCTTTCAACATAATGATGTCACATTGTTACCATGGTCACCAAGATCTCCCGACTTATCCCGAATTGAGCACGTGTGGGATATGATGGGTAGGAGATTGCTCAACCTGCAACGTCCTCCTCAGACTCTAGAAGCACTTCGAGAGGAGTTGGTGGTTGCCTGGAATGAGATACCACAGGAGGACATTGACCACCTAATCAGAAGCATGCCTAGGCGCGTTGGAGAATGTGTAGCACATCAGGGTGCATCCACACATTATTAAAGGGCAAAGGGCTTTAAAGCAGTGCAATCATTTTGAAATTTTTATCATTTACTTATTATGCTTCATTAAGTACTTATACAAAATTTTATTAAAATAAAACCATTTAAACTGGGTGTTCGGATTTATATGTCACTTAGTATATCAGAATTATTACATATACATCGTAATAGGTTATAAAGGGAAAAAAGGCATTACTTGTATTATACAGAGAATAAAAGCAGGATAGTTTGAAAACTGCTTTTTTACTTTGAATAATTGATTAACAACGTTCATGCTTAGGAAATGTAATTAGTATGAATGACAAAGTGAAAAAATAACTATTTTCTTGTTAAATAACGTGATGAATATTTTGCAATTGTAATCGTAAAAGGAATGTATCGGCGTGAAAATTTGAAAAAGGCAGTAAATGAGTTCGAAAGTACGGAGTGATTGTGTAGGCTCCTTTGGATTGATCTGATAAACTTCTTTTTTTTTTGTTATACATAAGAGGGATGTCTTTTAAGTTTTGCGTATGGAAATAAAACAACACGGTAGGTAGTTTTAAATGACTTTATTATTTTTCGAAGTATTTTCCACGAACATTAATACACATCTGCATGCGCTCGAACCAATTTTCGAAGCACTTATTCATAGCATATATAGCAGATTCAAAACGGCATTTTTGAATGCGTCAACTGCTTCTTCTGGTGACTGGGACCTTTGACCACGCAGTCTGTTTTTAATTTCCGGGAAAGTAAAGAAATCGTTAGGACATAAATCGAGACTATATGGAGATGGTCCAATAATTCCACGTTTTCTTCCTTTAAACACTGCCTTGTTTTTAGGGCTGTGTGCGAGCTTGCATTGTCTTGGTGGAGGATGATTCTTCTTTCGGGGTTGATTTTTCGAAGCTCGCCGGTGATGACTTTTGGCAAACAAATGGTGGTATACCAATCCGCAGTAAAAGTTATTTGCTCATTAAGAGGAATTGTTGCAATATGACCCGCTTTTGACACAAATGTCGCGACCATCTTTTTCGAAATACTTCGAGAACGGATGACTTTTGTTGGCTTTTCTTCACCTTGGACAACCCAAACCGCCTACTGTCGTTTATTTTCTGGTTCATAACAATAAATCCACGATTCATCACCACTAACAATGCTGTACACATTTTTTGAGTTTCCGGAATTGAAACGGTCAAGCGTTTTTTGACACCAATTAACCTTGGCTGCGTTCTGGTCTTCAGTCAACAAGTTGGGTATCCAACGAGAAACTAATTTTCTTACTCCTAATTCTTCATGTAAAATTTTTTGAATTGAGGTCTTTGAGATCTTCAAGGACACCTCAGTCTCGCGATATGTCACATGTCTATCTTCAATGATGAGTTTGCGCACAGCATCGACGTTTTCCTGGGTGACTGCCGTTTTGGTGCACCAACCCTGCGATCGTCCCTAAGACTCACCCGTCCACGTTTGAATTCTCCATATCAACGGGAAATTGTCGACTGATGTGGCGCTTCGTTGCAGAAAACAGACAGTAACTCAGCAAGGCATTCTTGTTGCGATAATTGTCTCTGAAAGTTGGAATAAATTATGGCGCGAAAATGTTCTCGGTTGAGTTCCATTTTTCTAATGACTTGGGGACACTTAAAAATTCACTGTAGTGAGAACACGTATTGTTGTGAAACTTTGAATTTAAGTTTACTAAAGAGTGAGGTTAAGATTCAGTACTGACAAAACTTAAAAGACATCCCTCGTACATATATTTTTTTTTCTTTTGTGCTGAACACAAGCTATTATGAACTAATGACAGCGTTGCGTGCAATTTTTTCTAATATTTCAATGATTTTTTATTCCAACCTCTTGTAGGAAGTGGTTCGCAATTGAACATCTTTTATACTTTTACCAGTCCAGTTTCTAGATTCTAGTCCACCATATAGGGTAAATCGTAAAATATCATAAAACCAAAAAAAAACATAAAATCTCGTAGCGTTACTCGCCAAGTCACCACATATAATACTTTTCCACGGTGGATCAATTTATATCTGACGGCGCAGCCATGTCTCACTTTACAAGCTGTAAAAATAGCGAGACGAATGCCTGTGTTAGTTCGTAATATGTACACAACCTCATTCGGGCGAAATAAAATTCAGAAAACCATCGTACGGTATAACTGTATACATACATCTCTATGAGCCAAAAGCATACTTCGGGATAATGGGACGTTGCCCCCAGTAGTTTCTCAAGCGAATTATATTTTTTATTATATCTGTACAGGGTGTCCCAAGAATCATGAATCAAACGAAAGATGGCGATAGCGCGGTCACTTCCAATCAGAAAAACCATACATGTCATTATCCGGTAGAGAACGGTTTTAGAGGTATCGCAATTTTTGAAAATTTGTATAAAAACGCTGTATTATTTTTTATGCAGTTTTTGGTATCAGCTATACAGTATATATTCTCAAGTTATGTATCTTTGAGGAAAAGCTATCAGTGAAAAATTAGTCCTGCCTGTAGTTACTGGCACGCATTCAACATCGATTTGGAGACAGTATATGAGCAAGACTAATAAGTGTGAATTTATTTTCCCCACAGGAAGATTTTGTCAAAAAAGTTGTACAAATCCTTTTCACTCTAGATGTTAGACGACGGGCAATCTAGCCGCAAACACAACGAGCTTCCAGCATGATCGGGCTCTACAGGTTTATTTAAATGGCGTACTTATTCTGGACGATGCATCCATAGGATCTACTTATACTTAAGGCCATAGGAACAGGTAATACGGCACTGCCTCTGTAATGCTTTTATTACCCAAAAGTATGTCAAAGCTGCCAACCGCTGGATTGTTTAGAATTATAATTGATTTAAATTTGTTCTTTTAATTGTTGCCTCATCTTATTGGGAATATAGGTCAGTAATCACCATTATAGGTTCAAGTTCACAAAGTCATTTTCAAGATTTTGTTTATTTTGTCCAAATGGTATTTAGGATATTTGATTAGAAGTTTTTCGACTAATTCTTTGTACAAGCCTTATTGAATATGCTGTAATACTTCTGACAACGAACAAAATTGCCGTGGAGCCTATATCAACGTTAACTGGACTAATTTTTCCTCAGCGATACATCATTTCGGAACATATCCTGTGAGGCTGATGAAAAAATAACTGAGAGCCTTAGTAAAAATTGTGCAAAATTAACGATTCTCTACAAATTATTAAAAATGGAGGTAACTTAAAAATCGTACACAATCGAGTAAGAATATATACAGGGTGGCGCATCGAAAACGAAACAGACGCATTTACTGGCAGCTCAGTTTTTTTTTGGAAAAACGCTCAGACCCGTCGATTTTGTTTTCGAGGGGGACACAAGTTTGGCAAAAAATCACGTTAACACGTGCAGCCCCCTGGGCGGGGGTGACACCAACCATAAAATCTTAAATGGAAAGGGGGGTCGAGTGATACCTTATTTCAAAAGTCTTTCAATTCCATTTATTATGATGTAAAATATATGAGCTTCAGTTCAGTAGTTTTTAAGATTTATTGATTTAAAGCTTAACGTAGACTTTAGTAGGTACATCAGATTAGTATGTACTACTTTCAGAAAAAAAATGACTAAAAGAATTTACTCAATAAGTAAATGCTTTTCTTCACTACGCCCATGGTTTGTTTATCATTTTGTTGTTGAAAATAGCTATTGGAGCGTTTTTTGTGACAAAAAAGTTATTTCTTGGAGAAAGATAAGGAAATATCTCGTACTTATTTTAAATAGGAATTTAGTACATAGTTTGCGATTGATTTGACCAAACTTTGTTGCTAAAATAACTTGTAACGCTTTATTACATAAATTAACCATGGTATATTCCACAGCAGAAAGAGTTGAAATTATCGAAATATTTTTCAGAAATAATCAGTGCGCTAATAGAACAGCAGAAATATTTAATGAGCGACATGAGAACAGTAACGTGCATCGAAAATATGTTCTAGAACTTGTAGCTAAATATCGGGAAACTGGGTCAGTCGCCAATAAAAAACGCAACATTGAAAATCCCATAAGGAACGAAGCAATAGAAGTGGGGGTTTTAGGGCAAGTTTATGTAGATCCTACGTTAAGTACCCGCACATTGGAGACTGTGTGGTGTTAGTCGACGTACTGGTCAACGGATTCTAAAGGCCCATAGTTTTCATCCGTATAAAATTCACCTGGTACAAGAACTTAATGAAGACGATTTTGATCGACGATTACAATTTTGTGAAGATATGAGTGAAAAAATTATAAACGATTCTATTCAACACTTGCTTTTCCGACGAATGTTCCTTTTTCTTAAATGGCGTAGTAAATCGTCAGAACTGCCGATATTGGTCCGATTCTAATCCCAGAATTTATCATGAGGTTCATACAAAGCAGCCACAAAAATTAAATGTTTAGTTGGTCTTTTTTTCATACCTGGAAATTTGACCGGTGAAATGTATTTGGAATTACTGGAAGACGCCATAGATCCTGCATTAACTGCTATAATTGAAAATCAGAACGATCGGCGGTACATTGCGAATAGGTTGATGTTCCAACAGGATGGTGCCCCGCCACATTACGCATTACGTGTTCGACAATATTTAGATCAGACGTTTCCAGATCGATGGATTGGTAGAAGAGAAGATCGCCAGATTTATCACCTTTGGATTTCTTTATGTGGGGTCATTTAAAGAGCAAAATCTATGCTACTCGATGGGTCACCCTGTATAGTTTTTCTGATTGGAAACGATCCGTCATCACCCCTTTCGTTTGAGAGATGGCTTTTGAGACATACACCAAACAAAATTATGGAGATGACACACTCGCTATGTGTCGTTAGGATGTTATAATGTGGAGGTAAGCATCTTACAGGCACAAACCATAATACAATAGTGCAAGATACTTTTGACAAATGGTCTAAGTCAAACTAAAACAACATATTTAAATAGAGCTGGATTTTGTCCATCGAGACCGAAATAGTGGGAGTACTTCACGAGGAGGGTAAACCTGTATACATCTCATAACTCTTTTTGGGAAAAGTATGTGAATTGTGTACAAATACAAAAATTGTAGTCCTTGAAAAGCCGCATTGTTGTAGGACCAATGAGTCTCATTATAATTCTAGATTTTTTACATACTTTACACAATAAATATGATTGTAATAGGTGATCAATCAAGACATGCCGAAAAACTACATACAGGGTAAGTTTTCAGTGTATAATAGGTCGATAATACCTTTTTTTTAGAAAATGTATAAAAGATACATTGACAAGATTCTTAACTATGTGGCAACACAAGCATACTTTTTCAAATATAATTATTTTTGGTATAATGTTTGGATCGCTGCTTATCGTGATACGAGATATTTTGTCCGAAAAAACATTCAAACTTGACAGCCTGTAAGTGAGTAGCTTTTACATATTTTTTTCAATATAATCCACAGATTTTTGTCAAAATTATTCTAGATTTAGACAGAGTTATATTATATAATTCTTGGGAGAATGTAGCCATCCCCTAAAAAATCTTCTCTATAGATAATGTGGCATTTATTTAATCTGAATTTTAATTGATTGTTAAGTTCAAAATACAAAAAATTGGTTACTCGAACAACCTTTCCAAGAAAATATACCAACATTAAAATGATAATTAAAATCTTTAGAAATATACTTAATGTTAATTTTTTTTTAAGAGAAAGCACATTTTGCGTTTATAATGCACCCTGTACAGATTATGCAAAACATTGACAAAACGCTTACACAACAATCGAATATGACACTCGTTTTGAGAATAAGTTTGCTACTCTACCTGCAACTGTGACTGCCCTACAAGTTGTCAAAGTTGAGTGTCTTTTTGGACGAATTATCCCATAGCTCCAGAAGTAATGATCTAACCATATAGTATCCTTTTAAGAGGCCCTTCAGAATATACTTAAATATATGTATGATGTGTCTGGTCACGTAGTTATGAATCACGCCTTAAATAGCTCTATGTATATTTTTCAAGTAAGGAGCGTATATTTGCCCATACTTTTTGTAAAAAGCTTTCTTAGATATCTTTCAAAATAACGAAAGCTATCGATCGATTACGTACTAAAAACTCACCGCGCACCGGTATCACGTATCTTGAAAAGTGACACTATGCCGATTTTTTTTGACATTATGTAGGTTATTCTACAAGATGTTAACTTAGCACTTAGTTGTACGTATTGCCTAAATGTCATGAGGCTTGTTATCAATATTTGGCTTTGATGTGATGTAAAATCTGCTTCTGAGATGGCGTTACTGGAAGTCTAAGCTGTAAGTTGTATGTGTTGATGATAACTTCATTGGGTTCTTGTCTCAAATACAGTTAATTGAGATTCAAAGCTAGAAATTAGTTGCTCATCCACTTTTTCTTATCCATTCTGGAAATTACATATGCAAATTTGCTGAATTTCAAAAACGAGAGAGATAAGAAATAATTATATTCACTGTACACTGTCGAATTACAAGCCATATACTATAGATGCTAACAGTAATTACACACAACGGGGGCGCGGTGATGATTTCCCGTAATTCTCCTCAGTTTTCCGTAATTTATAACTTTGAACATAACCTCTCTTCAGAAAGCACAAC